ACAGAGAGTGAGGAATGAGTGATCGACGTGCCTCCAAAAGCAAAGCAAGAAGCCGAAGTAGCAGTTATGACAATGTTCCATCTAGCAGCACTGGAATGACAAGTAGTGATGGTTCACAACAGGAGGCGAAAGATGAAACGTATCTATGGGAAATCCTTCAGACAGATGTGAACACATTTTTGAATATTCCAGCAACTTGTCATTCTACTACACTAGACATAACTGAAATACAGTTCGCACTTTACAAGATTACCCATATAAAAGCTTGCTCCTTAGCACGCAGTATGTTATCAAAAGAATCTGACCCCACACAACGTATACCAAAAGCGCTACGTAAATATTTTGGTGAGCATATCGGCTGTGGAGATGGTAAATACGCCGTTTCGACTGCTAGAATTAAAACATGTTTCTATCAGGAGCCTGGTTTTAACACGGAAGAGAACCATTATTCTTTATTATACATATGGACAAGTATGAAAACGGGCAAACATTACATTGGAGAAACTAAACAGTCACTCCTGGAGCGAACCAAGCAACATTTCTAAGAAGCGGTGGGACAACGGTCATCGGCAAATAGAGAACTGAATCATGCAATTTGCATGCACTCAGCCAAAGAATGGGATTTACAAATTTTACGTTTCTCTATTCATCTGAGTAAAGAAAGAAAACAGATTGAGCAGTATTATATTCGAGAATTGCATAGCGAATGGCCACACGGATATAATACGAGAACAACCAAAAAAAAGCTGACAGATCCGTACACAGTAGGTAACGCTGAAGCTGAAGAAATTATGAAGAAAATAAATTTGTACCGTATACAACAAAAGATTGGAAAACTACAAAAATCTGTTACGGCGTTGTGTCGATTACTAAACAGGGAATTTTTTGCTCGCGAACAACCCATAATCAAATCGAGAAGCGGATTAAGTCATACGAGGAACTGAGTTAGCGGCAGCACAGGGAGTAGTGCAGAAAAAGGTAACAGAATTGTTAGTTAAGAACAGCAGTGGGTAAATATCAATGTCCTGGTTGTAGAAAAACCTTTATGCCTCAAGGAATTACAATGCATGCTAAAGAGTGTGCTGAGGATTGGTGCAAAAAGAACAATATTAAATGAACAAAATAATATGATGGTAAACATCTACTGGAATTTGACTTTGTGAGACCGATGGGTATCACTTAAACTGATTACAGAGGGTGGTACCTTGATAATTAACTTAGTTCAATTTTCAAACACGCATCTCCACAGAGAATGTAACTTCTAAAAAGCAATAAAATTAATTTCTTGGTAATATATTCAATATGGTTATTGGCTTCTGTAGTTTTACAGGTTTTGAATACTTAAAAGAAATAATTTGATTTTTGTTTAAAAGTAAACAAAATAATAAGAATGTATTCGCCTGAGCACCACTTGGGCATCCTGTGATTATTATATTTAATCTTTGACATTCTAAACATCATTAACAACGAAATTGGATGTCATCATACAATTCGCTCTTGTACTCCTGCTGAAATTAATATCTTTGTAAGATGCACGTAGTTCAAGATTTGAGTAAAATTTATTTTCGAACATATTATACACCGTTGGGTAGAGGATCTATTCGTGTAGTTTTGAAGCTGAGCATCTAGCGAATCTAACCGCGTAAAAATATTGGCTCTACTACTGCTACGGAAATCTGTGAGAATTCTGCAAAATTGGGTGCCGTCTTTGAGCCATGTACATTGGAAAAGCTTTTGTGAATAGACGTGTGATTCTAAAATTTTTAGAAATTCGTTTGACCATTTTCTGATTCAGTTTTAGATGCTGAATCCAAAAACCTTTGTTTCGAGTACTGAAACCCTAACTCAAAAAGACTAAAACCATTTTTTTGAAACCTTCCCTTTTTCCCTTTCCGCATTTTGAGTTTTTCGACCGGAAAAAAGTACTGTGGAACAGGGTAATAGTAAAACATGAAGACACCCATAGACACTTACAGACAGCTACATAGACATCCATACACAGACATCCAAGGATGTGGCTGTCTAGATCAGTGGCTGTCTATGGATGTCTGTGGCTGTCTGTGCGCGGTCTGCGGATGTCTGTGTGTTGTCTATGGGTGTCTTCATGTTTTACTATTACCCCATAGAACATATATTCGTGATCGCCTCGAAATCCTCTATCCAACGGTGTATAATATGTTCGGAAATAAATTTGTACTCGAACTTTAAATTACATGCATCTTATGATATACTCAAACGTCACACCCATCAAGCATGATACTATAGTTAGTACAAGAACACTTATTGCACATTTTCCACATATTAATTTCGACCGCTGTATTGTCCAAAAAAAGTACTTAATATGTATCTGTCATTAACCAAGTCAACACTAACACATCGTGAGAGTGCGATGTGACCTTGCTGATAGGAGAACGGAATAAAGACATTCAAAATTTTCCTTTTCGTTCTCAACATCATTCGCTTGAAACTTTTGTTTCTACTAACAAAAGCAACATGAGAAGCAAGATAGACTTAAATGACAGAAACTAATATATTAAAAATAATATTTTGCAAGTTTATAGATAAAATTTCACGCTCCTACTACGAAAATATAAAATTTTTGAACTTTTACTCTATTCTCTGTGCTCTGTTCATTAATTCTGATTGAGTAGACTCTCATGTCTCGACTGCATAAGATTTTCGTCGTTATTCATTCCAAGTATTATGTTGTGGGAGATGTTTTTCCTACATATACACTGTGAGAAATTCTTAGTGTGCTTTCAAACGAAGATAAACGGTTGGAATCAATACGCGTGTTACATGAGAAAGTTAGGCTAACTCGTATCCATCCGATTCAATCCAACTAAAACTCAAGACTCGAATTCTTTTTTAAAATGAAGCTTATTCTGTCGTGACCATAATCTCAAAAGTGTTCCATTTTCGTGGCCTGTCCGGCTAATCGTCAACCGATATAATAAACTAGGAGTTGAACGTTTTTAAAAACTAATGCGCCAGATTGTAGAGCACTCTCTCTTACATAAGGAACTATAATTTGTTTCATTGCATCATGGATAGAACAAGAAAAAATAAAGCTCAACCAGAGTCGTTCATGAATTCTAATTATAGGGGCATATATCGTCGGTAAACAAAATGCATGTGCACAACAAACGAAAAGCTTAGTCTACAAGTATTTGGTATGTAACAAATCTAGAGAAATCAGACTTCATTTTGGCCAACTCGTTTACCTTTCAGATCTTATTGTTAAAACAGTTTTATCAAAATCTCGCCAAATGTGGCGCGATTGCGTTACCAAAATGCGCTCTTATTCTTCGATGTACATAGTGATCCAAAAAAAACTTACCCCGTGTGTATTTATTGACTTTCTTGTGTACAAATATAATTGAACTTTTTATCATTAGTTTATTCGAATAGAGCAAAGATTTCTGGACGAAATGAGACGTCTCCGTGCTCTCGAAGAGCTTTTCTCATGAAACAGCATTCAATTTACGGAAGGTCCCATACCACCAAAATCGGGACAATTAATGGGCAAACAAGAAAAATATGCCGTAAATTCCGTAAATTCAATGCTGTTTCATGAAAAAAGTTCTTAGAGAGTTCGGAGACGTCTCATTTTGTCCAGAAATCTTTGCTCTATTTGAATAAACTAATGATAAAAAGTTCAATTATATTTGTACACAAGAAAGTCAATAAATACACAGGGGTTAAGTTTTTTTTGGATCACTCTGTATTATTGTAAAAATAAAACAAGAAATCATGCAATGAATAATTAAATTTTTGTTCGATACTTTAGCTAGAAGATTAACATCCAATTCAACTGATGTTGCTAAATGAAATAGTCAAACGTAACTCAAATTCATTTTTAATAGATACTAAAACTGTTTATGTTGATAGGCAATAATTATAAATAATAAAATATTTTTCGAACAACATTTTTGTTTTCTGTTTTCTTTAAATACTTTATCTTATAGTTTATTTATTCAATCCAAACCTTCTTCAATGGATAAATAATTCAGAAAATACAAAATTGAGCGATAAGAAATATAAAGCTAAAATTTACAACATCTAAAAACGTAATATATATTAATATTGATAAGGATCACTTCCTTTCTCTCGGCCTTAAGTTATGAGTTTTGTTGATGTTAGGCGGTTTTTTATTATATCCGTTAATAACGGATATAATAATAAACAAATAATATGCAGTCAATGGCTTCCAACCATACAAAGACCGGGGAAAAGAGAGGATCCGGACTGAGAGGCGAAAAATTGCCTGACATTAACAAAAGTCATAACTTAAGGCCGAGAGAAGAAGGAAAAGTAGTGATTCTTATCAATATCCTATTTTATGTTTTTAGATGTAAATTTTAGCTTTATATTTTGTGTTTTCTGAATTATTTATCTACTGAAGTAGGTGTATAAAATACCGAAAGGTTTGAATTGAATAAATAAACTACAAGACAAAATATTCCAAAAAAAAATGACTTCAAATATACAACAAACTCGTAAAAACGGTTAATAAACATTTTACAAACTATTTTTCTTACATAGACAATATGTTGTATGTCTATTATAGATGATCAATAACATATTGATAATTTCAGCACTTCCAGTCAAATAAAACTTTCATAAATAAAGATAGTAATCGATTGAACATACAATTGAATATTTAAATAAATACTATAATCAAATGTGATTATATAAATAAAAGACGATATACTAACCGTTACTAAATAAATTTGCATACGTTTATTACTGACAATAGTCTTTGAAAGAATTAACAATCTACGATTTGTACTATAAACATAGAATTCAAACAAAAAAAAATAAATAAATTACGAGCTCCAAAAGTGTACGAATCTATTTTTTTATTATCATAAAAATTAAAAAAATAACAGAATTAGACATACACAAATACATGCACACATTATAATAAAAAAGAAAATTAAAAAAATTTTTTTTAATCGACAGAAACAAAAAAGAAAAACATAAATAACACATAAAATTTAAGTAGTCAATGGAATTTCAATTGATTTTGCCATTGGCTAAATTAAAAATATAAATTTAATATTAACTACTTTTAAATCTGATAATAAAATAAACTTACTACAACAAATATATGTGTTGGTAATGTTTTTTCGATTGATTCATCAATATCATTTTGTTGTGGACGTATCATGGATAATTTTAAACGTGGCAATTGAACAAAACCACACAATGTTGGAACCAATGTATAACTGACATCACTTGAACTATGAGGTGGGACAAGAACAGACGTCTAAAAATGAAAAATTAATTAAAAAATAGAAAAAATATTTTTATTTTTTTTTTTCAAATAACTTACTACTGTAGCACCAGAAATGGCCATAACAAGATTTATTTGCTCTAAATGGACTTTATATTCATGTACACTTGATGTATGATTATGTATTCTATAACTGGCTTGAAATGGTTTTTGTATTGCAACAAGATTTGGTAAATTGGCTTCAATATAAATTGGTTGTTGTTCAACATTAAAATCAGCTAATGAAAAAGTTGTACATAATTCAGGAATATTTGGATGACTTGAACTAAAAAAATACAAAAAATATAAATAAATAAATATTATTTCTATTTTCTCTATGATTTATACCGTTTCCAATAAAGACTATATTCACCAACAACAAGATTTGAGACAATGGGTGCTTGAATTGGTTGTGTACGTAAACAAAATCCTTCCGTAACAACTTCATCAAGTTTTAACTGAGCTTAAAAAAGAAGACAGGAAATAATACAACGAAAAAGTGAAGATTTTTTTATTTTATTTCCATTAATGATTGTAAGATATTTCTACAGTTGTTTTAGAATGACAGATGTTAACGATCAATCGCACGGGGGAAAGCACTACTTCACTACTGAAACGGCGCGGAAAAAGCAAGGGGGAAAAAGCACTGCTTCAACACCTCCACTTCACCTGAAGTCTGAGTTCGTAATGCTCCTCTTTTCCTCTTTAATCCAAGACCTCTCCTCTTTCTCCTCTTTTTAAGCTAATTTTCCTCTTTTCTGGTATTTTTTAGCAAAAATACCAGAATTCACGCAACTTTTTAGTAGTTTCAGATATATTTTTTTATCAATGCCATCATATGAAACAAAATTCAATCACTTGTGATTACAGAAAACAGTAGAGGAAGTTCCTGTGAGACGATGGTTGAAGCAAGGTGCTAAGGAATCAACATTCGTATGTACATTGTGTAAAACGGGCGAATTAGATTGTGGGAACAAACAAATCGCAGTCGATAGTACAGCATATGAAGAAAGATAAACACCGTGGAAAAATCATTTGAAAGAAAATATGACATTCACTTTTTCAACATTTTCGTCTCATATAGCCACAACTTTATCACAAAGTTGAATAGTCAAATAAAAAACAGAAATTCTCTCAGGAACAATCTCAAAAAATAAATAAGAAGAATGTTCAATCGAGACAATTTGTTTTTAGATTAGTTTAACAGTTAGCGATGCTATCTGAACAGTTAGATATGTTTCTGTGTTAAACTAGAATAACTCCTTTTTCCTGTATTTTTCGTAGTTTTTTTACTCGTGAAACACGGGAAAAATATTTTGAGTAGGATAAAATCTTTTCTTTGAGAGTATTAAACCACTTTGACGTGTACACAACATTCTCAGTACCGCTTTTTGGCCAAAGAAATGCCTCCTCTTATCGTCTTTTTTACCCAGCGTTCCTCTCAAAAAACTTTTAACGTTCCTCTTTTTTCTGAAAGGACCGTTACGAAGCCAGCTTGACGTGACCTTGCAGTGATTTTTAAATGTTTGGACCGTTTCCGTAGTTTAGACCCGAATGAAGTGAAGTGTAAACGTAGTGCTTTTGAATAATTACATACTATTTTTGATTTGTGATTCAATTGCACTTTCACTATTAATAGATTGACTCTAAAATAGTAAAGAATATTAAAACAATATTCAATAATAATTTTCAAAAAAAGTCATTTACAGGTTTTAATAGACTATTAGTAATGGTTATATCAATAGATGATGTACATTTTGTATCAATCATTAATATAAACGGTTCTTGTGCACGTAATGATAACAATGGTTCCATCTAAAAGTTGATAAAAAAACAACAACAACTTTAGAGAATATAAATTGCTCGAATTAAAGAAAAATCTAGTACAAACCATCATTCCCATTGTTTGAAATTGGATAGAAAATGGATCGACAACATTTAAATGCACTACAAGCTCTTTCATACAATGAAAATTTAATCGTTCATAATATAACTAAATAACAGATTATAATCAATATTAAATAGATTCATGTTACTTTAAAATACAACGTACTCTAATAGAGATATCACGTTCATGATTATTATGGCATCGAACATACAAATCTTGTTCAATCTAAAATTAAAAATAATAATTCATGTTACAACTAATAATTAAACAAGAGAATATCACGCACTTGACCATCTTTCGGGATTGGCTTTGTTTTTATTGTACATGTTCGTGTTATTTCAATGGAACTGTCTGTTGTATAGGACAGAAAAGCTGAATAGAACAAGAAATATTGAAAAGTTAGAAATAATTCTCCTTTATAAAAAAACAACAACAACAACCACGTACTGTCATCTTGTGTTGGATTTGTTTCATCTGTATTTGCACAAGAGCAAGTTAATCTTAAACAGAAAGATACAATGTCAAACAAAGTTTATTCTATTCTTTTGAATATCTATACTTTGCTGTTTCAATATCACCATTTTCACAATTTAGAATGTGAATTTTAATCGGATAATATTCATATAATAATACTGGTAATTTATGATCAGCAGTTAATGTAACAGCTGCTGTACGTGTGATAAAACTAAAAAAACAATTAAAAAAGGTATTTTTATCTTTTTCTCTAATAAATATAATCGATTTTACTTTGTTTTTCGTCTAATCGGAATATTTTCCCATAATGTATGACCAGTATGAAGTTGCCATTTCGGCGTCAATGGAATATTTATTAATCCTAGCTGTTGTTGTTGATTTCCTTTCCAGTGAAAATCAATATGACGTTTCGTTTCATCGCCATATATCAAAGATATTGACACAACCTAAATGATAGAAAATTGACTATTTTTGATAATAAACAAGAAATGTGTCAAATATTTTACTTCTAAAACACGATGAACATGTTCATTTTGTGGTGAAAATTTAAATGACAATGTTTTATATTCCATTGGCGAGAAATATAATTGTTCTTTTTTATCCGTAGTTGAAACAACATTATCATATTCGGGAACATTAAATGCAACACTGAGATGACTGAATTGAATTGGTAAAATGAAGTCACTTCTAAAATATGAAATACATCGATACGATTAGTTTTTTTTCTCTTAATTGACCAAAATGAGATGAAAACGTAATGATTTTAATTTAAACAATTTGTTTAATAAACTATATGCTAATAAATTAATCAAAAAAAAGTAAGAGAAGACTTAAAATGTCAAAAATTATGTATCAATGCTATTCAGCGATGAAACACTGGAAAATTTTTCAAAATTTATTTAAAGATGAAACAAAGAATAATAATGACAAATTTATTATGAGTAATTATTTTTAATAAATCTTTAATTCCATGATCAAAAGATCATGAACGTAAAATTTAAAAAAAATAATGAATGAATTGGTGTTTTGTGAAGAACTAGTGAGTGAAGAATAGACCTGTAAAAGTTCACGTTTCGTTCCTTGAACGTGAACGCTAGCGCACTGGTAGACGTGAGCTTTTTTTATACGAACGGTGTTCATATTGTCTGGAGTAAATATAAACTTCTTGTTCTTGTACTGTAGTGAGAACATATATATTTCTGCTTGGTCTTATCTGATTAATAGAAACTGATAAGATTCGAGCTTTTATCTCTTTTCAAAAGGCATTATTAGGAATGACAAGTAAAAAGGTAAAGAGAAGGCTAGTGTGCATTATAGAGTGATTCTTCTAACGATGAGAGTACGTTTTCTTTACGTTTTTACTTGCAAGAAAACCGATATATCGATTTACATCTATAGTGCACCTCCATTAGCAAAATCCTGACTACGGGTCTGTCTCTGATCAAGGCATTGATTCTTCTAAGAACAGATCGCCGATTTTCTGACCAGGAGACTAATTTTTCCTGCAGTGGAACCGAAGTTGCTTAATCCAAACCATTTCCGTAACTACATGCTTTTTCCTTTGTTATCGTAATCCATTTGGGAACAAATGAGCGTTGATTTTTCACTAAATATAACTGGTAATGAAGAAAGCTGTTTCACTTGGTATATTACTAGCTGAAATTGCTATATAACGTTTTGAAATACTATTCATTCCACACAAGATCGATACCGTTCATACAAAATAAAGTTCACGTTCAAAGAACATCATGTTTAGCGTTTACGTTCAAGGAGCGCCAACGTGCATTGACGTTCAAAGAAAATGCTAAAAAGGAACGCTGAACGTTTGCAGCCCTGAAAACCGACAAACATTACTAAATAACAGGAAGATAATGGCAAAAGATGTTTTGTGAATCGGTTTTGAAAAAATATTTCCGACTATTTCAGTTATATAGTAAGAATGGCAGAGACAGAAGTAGCAAAGAACATTGCTACACAAACGAAATTAACAACTGATGTGAAAGAGTCGGAGTATATTTAATATAATTGAAAAATATTTTTGTAAAATCATTTTACATAAATAGTGAGCTTTCAATACTTCACAGTGTCATCATCAGGCAAAGATGATTGTCGAATTTAGAAGAGAGATGATTATATATATACTACTGAAAGGTCACTTTTTATGTAAAATCATATTACGAAAATGTTTTTCAATTATATTAAATATACTTAGTTCTATAAAAAAAACGTAAAAAAGTCAAAGAATATCAATATATTTGAACGAGTTTGTTAGATTCAAAGACAGATCAGACACTGTTTAGAAAAAGAAAAGCTTAGATAAATTCTATGAAATGAGTCGAAATATAAGAGAAAGAGAGAGATCTCATCCCATTGTCTTACTTGATTGATATATCTAATGATATTTCACAATCAATCGCAATTGTATCATATGTAAAATAAACTTTGCATTCCACTAGAATAAACAAAAGAATATTTAGATATAGTCAATCTGGCTCATCATTCACATACTTACAAAGTTTTTTTAGAGTATCAGCATCTACAATTATACGATTTAAATTTGAATCTAATGCTAAATTTGACCATTTTTGTTCGATATCTGTCGTCGATAAATTACTAGATGATTGATCGATCTTTGGAGCAGTATTCTAAACAATTTTCAAAAATATAAATAAAATAAAATAATATTGATATCAAAATATTACGTTTAAAATTAAATTTTCAAAATTATTCTGTATTGTGGTTTTAGTATCACTGGGTAAATTGATATCTAAATAAATAATTATACAAATATAGTTTACAGAGTCAAATGAATAAAATAAATTATACTTGGATTTAATGATTCTAAACTAAGTTTAATGTAATCTTCGATGCTCACGGTTAAATAAGCACATCTAAATCCCAAAACAAAAAATCGTAACTAATATTCTAGGTAATAAGATTGATTTTCATTATGAACCTTAACGCTGACGGCAATATTGCTTGTAATATAAGCCACCATCGTTCAGTACGATAAGCTTGAATAATATAATTATAATAACTAGAAGATAGACAAATATAGTTTGTATGTTTTTTATAACGGGTGCGGGATAAATAATGATACCGTCTGTATTTTGTCAATATCTCGGTGAGTTTTTAGTGTAGAGACTTCCGAAAAGATTTTCCATTTAATTCTCGACAAAACCCGAAGAGAAGGGCATACACTACAAATAACCGTGAATTTATGGGCTGTCAACGCTGCTATGTCCCAAATGGGAGCACTTTCCAACCAATATTTCATTTTGTTTTTATTTTTTCGCCGTACTTTCATCGCATAGAGAAAGACTGAATATATCATTTTGTAGCTCGGTCTATCAGTTGTTTCTCAACTGATAAGTTTTTCATTTCAAGCTTTTGTGATCCAGACCTTTTCCCTTTTATTTCATATTCGGTTTTCTACATCCTGCTACTGGGGTGCATTGTAAATTTTTTACAGTTAGGACAAAGTGTAACGTGCAATTTTCCTTTGCAAAGGTGCAGAAAAATGTTTTCTCTATTTTCTCTAACCAACCAAACTGGCGTACAAGTCTTCTTTTGGCACTCATAGTGTGTGAGAGGAAAATGCTTCCTGATTCCAACTCGTTTTTTAAGGAAATCTGCCACAAGAAACTCACTGCGTTGTCTAAGAGAGTGTTTTTGAGTGCTGTGAGAAAGGGCACGTCCAAAAACATGGAAAAATTCACATCAGAGTGCGTTCGCGTCTGATTAGATAGAAACAGAGACATAATTAATCTTCTGAAAACGTGCGCTGGTAAGTGCTCTCATTTGGGACATTGCAGTGCTAATAGCCTACTAGCTCCATAACGGTCCTTTCGGAAAAAAGAGTTAAAAATTTTTTAAGAGGAGCGTTGGGTAAAAAAGAGGAGGCATTTCTTTGCTCAAAAAACGGTACTGACAATGTTATGCACACGTCAAAGTGACTTTCGGCTCTCAAAGAAAAGATTTCATCCTAAACCCCCCCCGGGGGGGGGGGGGGGGGGGGGGGGGGGGGGGGGGGGGGGGGGGGGGGGGGGGGGGGGGGGGGGGGGGGGG